CCCCAAAACCCCAAAACCCCAAAACCCCAAAACCCCTTTAAATTTATTTCCGTTGATTAACAGCTAATTAAAATTAAAATATGGAAAAAGCGAAAGAAGTAAAATTGCATTTTTGTTAATTGATAAATTATTACGATTGTATTTTTGCAAATTTGCTTTTGCGTAGCAAAATATTGCGAAAGACCCTCTTTCAGAGACATATAGCGAATAGATTAGAGAAAACACTCAAATACAAATTTTAAATGCCAAGATTGAATTATAAACTCTTTGTTTGCAGTTGTCAGGAATTAGTGTAGAGAGCAGACGGAAGAGGAAGGATATTTGAGATATAGAGTAGAAATTTTAGAGAGTGTTTGAAATTTTAGATGCAGATTGTAAATAATTTTACTTGGTGGAAATTTTTAGTCATATTTCTGAGCACAATTTGGCGCTAAAGAAAAATGCATCAAATTTTTGGGAATAGAATCATACTTATCTTTTGCATGAATATATTTTCCAAATGTTTTCTGGATTGGTTTAAATAAATTCCAGACTCTCAAATCTCCTCTAAAAGTCATTACTTGTCAATTCTAAATAACTATAAAATAATCATCTCCTAAATTCTCTAACTCTACTTATAGAAGAAAGGACTATTAAGCACTGTAAATTCTTCAAAAACAAGGTAAAATTTGAGCCAAATTCTGTAATATCTTCGATATTGCTTTACTTAAGAGATTTTTAGGTGTTGATTCAGTATGTTTCTCTACACTCTACCTTTATTGTTTGTATTAGTCTGTGTCTGGTTATCAAGGCATGCCTGTCTCTAGGCTGTGGAGTTATGTCAGCCCTATTTGTTCTGCAACAAGCCATCTCTGTGTTAATAAATCTTAGACTCTTAGTATCAATATTCAAAACGAAAAATAGAGGTAAGCTCATTTAATAATTCTCTAGGAAAGGACCAGAAGGAACAAGTAGATATAAACTAAACATTTAGAATAATATATGCTCACCTGGATTTTAGAGAGCCTAATATACCCACTTCGCGAAATATTGAGCAGAAATCATACATGAGGAGGACCTTTTCAAGCAGAATGAAGAGCAGGGATAAGCCAAGGATTCATACTGATGTTTCCAAGAGTCCTTTTAATCCTAAGTAAGGTTCATTCAAACTTCTTTTGTCTGCTCAAGCATTTAACAACGATATATTAATGACTTTAGAAACCCAATGAAGAAGAATACTGATTTTGAGGAAATTATGAAGAACTTTGATTTCCATTGCAGCAAAGTTGGAATGATGACACCAGGAACAACCAAGAACAAAAGACATAAGATGCCAAATTTATCTACCACAGTGTCTGCAGCCAATCTCAAGAGCGAAGCCAATTTCTTTGGTTGAAGAAAAACACCAAGGGTTACAACAATTCAGTATGGTTTCGAGTAATTTTTAGGAAACAAGGGGAAAACTGAGGGACTAGATCTACTAAGGGATTGAGCTTGGCTCCACCAAAGTTCGACAACTAGTAAATTCATGATAACCTATCTAGTATGAATAATGGCGATAAGGGTAGTAAGACAATAAAGTCAATCAGTAGCAAGAAAGACCTCTCCTGTACGGATAATCTCTCCACTAAAGGAAGTTCTCGGCCTAGGAAATAAGATCAATTTATCCCCGTTCAACTTGAGTAGTTCAAACAAGGCAAAGAAACTTGATAGTAAATCTGAGTCTTTGAAGAGGCATAATTTTAAAGCTAGGAAGATTCCCAAGAGCCATAAAGTTCCCTTCATGGTGTTTCATTCTACTAAAGATTTGACTTGATTCAGGAAGCCGGGTGATCGAAAAGATAGTGAGAACAGAAGAACCAAGGTAGTTGTCAAGACTCCGTACGACGAGCTTTGAAATGTGAATAATGATAATGAAAAGAGTCCTCTCAAAACCTTATCTATCAATGAGGTTACACTGAAATGTAACAAGACTAATGACTTTATCCCAAAAATCAAGAAAATAAAGGACCTAGGATTGACAGACTTGAAAGTAGGCCATGAAATTGAGACCAAGAACAAAGGGCAAGACAAAATGGACACTATTGATGAAAGAGAGAATAGCTATGATAGTGAAGATTCTTGAGCCAAGTTCGTCAACGAGATCAATACTCAGATAGCAGAAATTTATGATATTGTAGATATTGAGGCAGAGGATCAACAGAACCAACTTGAGTCAATCATACGCAATGGTACATCACAGAGTAAGATGGATATTACGAATTAAATCATTATTGAATCAATATGGGATAAAATAAATGGGGTTTTGGGGTTTTGGGGTTTTGGGGTTTTGGGG